AAATATTGTGAAACGACGTCGTCTGTAACAGAACAAAGTTATGAGATAAAGATTGAGTTTCTTGAACAAACACAAGAAACTTTATTAGGTTTTATGAAAGAGATAGGGGGATAAATAAGAAGAATAAGAATTGGTTAAAATGGTTTTACTATTTAATTTCTCAATAAGGATTCAAAGATTACAAGTGAATACCAACAATTAACCTCTCTCAACAACCTGAGAGAACTAGTCTATTTATAGACTAATAAGCTAACTTAAGATACAAGCTAACTTAACAATTAGGATTACAAGTAAGACGTAATTCGACATGTTAACCTAAATAACAAGCTAACATAAATCTTCATGTAAGAACGACCTTCGACTAATGCATGCATATCTTCGACTTCGACAGTTACTGGTTCGACAAAGTTTGCTACAACACTAGCTTATCACCCATAAGCTAAAAATCTCCACTTTAGAACAAGCTCTTAGCCTCGAAATCAAATAGCTTTCATCATGCATCTTTATCAACTACATACAATGGAAAAAATTGTTGCTCGACAATGTCTTCGTGATTATATCAGCAGTATTTCATCAGTTGAAATCTTCAGCATTTGGATTTATCCATGCTCGATTATCTCTCTGACGAAGTGCAGCCTTACATCGATGTGCTTGGTTCGCTCATGATAGGCTGAATTCTTTGACAGGTGTATTGCACTTTGAAAATCACATTTAATAGTGACAACTCAGCCTTGAAGTTTCATCTCCTTAGCAAAACCTTCAAGCCACAATGCTTCTTGTACAACTTTAGTGAGGGAAATATACTCCGCTTCATTGGTTGATAAGGCAACAATCTTCTGAATATTTGCTTTCCAACTGATTGTTGTGCCAAACATAGTGAGCGCATATCCAGAAATAGATTTTCTGGAATCTATACAACCTGCATAATCAGAGTAGAAAAATCCTTCAATTTCGATTTTGCTATAATCACCACATACTCCACCATTAATCAGGACTCTACCTAGAGACTCATTAATTTACTTAAAATCCACTTTAGTGTTTGCTAGTGCGCCTTCCCAGGATTGGCCATATACCTGCTCACAAGGCTCACTTTGTACGTTATGCATGGCCTCGTATAAACCATAGCAGAAGTTAAAAAAACATACTATACTAGCATATAGAATTCTATTCATATAGGCTCTTTCGAATTCAGTACTATGACTTTGAGTCGTACTTAGTTTATACTGAGGATTAGTCGGTGATATAACAGGCTATGAGTTCGACATACCAAACCTGTCGAGAATCTTCTTCAGCCATGTCTCTTGAGATAAGCATAATCTTGAATGTTTTTTATCTCTTCGGATGTCAATCTCAAGTGTAAGTTCTGTGACTTTTGGATTGCCTGCATTTTGGTAAAACAACATGATGTTAGCAAGATGTTGAACCAGATGTTCTGCCATGACAATCAGACATCATGTTCTGCTTGATGCTGTGACATGTTCCAGGACATGTTATACTAGAAAGTTAAGGCATGACTACTTTGGTATCTTTAGTGTCATTTGTGAGTGTGTTCTGATGTGCACGTGGACGACTTTTATAGGAGTATATTGTGGAATTTTTTGTTATGAAAAAATCTGTTTTTTTCATAAAAAGGATCCTTGAGCCTTTTTAGGAAAGTTTGTATTTTTCTCCTATAATTGTGCAGGATGATTTGCAGCCAGTTTATACTGATTGCTGCTATTTGTGTGCCTCAAGAAACTCAAGCCCACAAGGTCTGAAGGCTATTTAAAGAAGACCTAAACCTAATGTATAAATGACTTTCACTTTTATAAAATAAGGGGAGGTTTTGTAGTGCTAGGTTTTGAGAGTCTTTTATGTGTGACTTTGTAAGTCACCCTTTGCATCCGTTGATACATTGTGGTAGAAAAATTGTTTATTATTTGTTATTCTCACTCTAAAGCTTCTAAGTAAGAAGTTAAGTATTGTTCTTGGTTGAAGCATTTAAGAAAAACCTAGTATTGTAGTTGGAAGAGTGTTCTTCTTCTTTTTGGTTTCTCGAGGCATAGGTCATTGGGATTGTGCCTGATTGTTAGAAAGTGAGAGAGGGATCTTATATCCAGATGGCGATTTCTAGGTAGAAGTTACACAAGGTAGTGATTAGGTGAGAAGTTGTAAACGGATGAGTTTAGTTTTGAACTAGTAATATTATAGTGTTCCTTCCTGGCTTGGATGCCTCCAAATGTAGATGATGTTGCAGCAAACGAGATTACCAATTGACTGTATTATTTATCTTTCTGCATTTAAAGCTCTGCATATTTTTACAGTTAGATAAATTGTTCTGTCAGTCTGAAGATGTCAAAACATTTGTCATGACTTTGTACTCGGATGTTGAGACATCAGAATCACCATCAGGTGTTGCATGTGCCAGAAAATTTCACCAAGAATTATGGAGGCAGCTCTCAAATCCTTCATGTCGAACTCCTTATCGAGTTCAGCTTTCACCTTTATAACATCTTCGACACAGTTGCTTGCTATGAGAATGTCATCCACATACAACAACAAAATAACAAGTGAATTTTCAGGTCAAAATCGGAAGTAAACACAATGGTCGAACTAGCTTCTAGTGAAACCAATATGTCCAATGAACTTGTCGATTCTCATATTCCATTGTCGAGGAGATTGTTTCAGGCCATATAAATATCTATTCAGCTTGCACACATAATCTTCCTTTCCTTTTTCTGCATACTCTTCAGGTCGCCTCATCAGGATTGTTTCATCTAGATAGCCATACAAGAAGGTTGTCTTCATCCATCTGTTCAAGTTCTAGGTCGAACTTCCCCACCATGGCTAACAACATTCTAATGGATCTATGTTTTACAATATAGGTGAGAATATATTGAAGTCGAAACCTTATTTCTGAGTGAACCCCCTAGAAACCAATCTTGCCTTAAAACGCTTCGACGTCACTCCTTCAATTCCTTCCTTAACCTTGAAAATCCACTTACAACTGACTAGCTTGGCTCCTGCAGGTTTCTCAATCAGCTCCCAAATATTATTATCATGAAGAGATTTTATCTTATCATCCATGACTTTTAGCCATTCAGTATTGTCTCAACTCCTCATAACTTCCTTATAGTCTCTCGGTTCTTTGTCAAGAACCTCACTTTCAGAGATTAAGGCATAAGCTATGAGATCTGCATAACCAAGTCTCTGAGGTGGTTTTATGACTCTTCTCAACCTATCTCTTACCAGCAGGTCGCCATTATCAGTCTCCTCATCTTCGACAACAGCTTTTGCTTCTTCTTCGAATTCATTTGGGTTATGTAATTCAACATCACTATGTTCCACCTCAACAGGAATTTCTTCATGTTTCAGCTCTTCTTCAGAGATCTTGGTTCTTCAACCAGCGTCGTCAGTTTTCTTAAAAGCCAGCTCAGCTTTATTGAAAACTACATCTCGACTTGTAATACACCTCATGTGACCTGGCTCTAGGCACCACAACCTATAAGTTTTGACTTCTTCAGGGTATCCAAGGAACGTACATCTCAGAGCTCTAGGTTCGACCTTGTCTTGCCTAATGTGAGTATAAGTTAAACAATCAACTACTCTAAGTCTGTCGAGACTAGGTAGATATTCCGACTAGACTTCTTTAGGTGGCTTCATTCCCAAGACTGTCGAGGGACACCTATTTATCATGTATGATGCAGTTACAGCGGCTTTTGCCAACCTTTTTTAATCCTGCACTTATCTACATGCACCTCACCCTTTTCAGAATAGTTCGACTAAACCTTTCATCCAAATCATTTTGTTGATGAGTCCCTAGAGTAGTTATGTGTCTCGCAATACCATACGTAGCACAATAGTTATTATTAAAAACCTCATTGCAAAATTTAAAACTATTGTCAATTCTCAACCTCTTAAGAACCCAAAATAAGGTGATTCTCACGTTTTGTGATTTTTCTTCCTGCAATTTCAAATCTAATCTAACACTCAAGCAACCATGATCATTAAAGAAATATACCAGAAAGCAAGCTAACTAGGCATGCATAACATTTCATATAGTGTTCTTGATCATTACATTCATTCCTCACGCTATGAAGAACAACAAGCTTCAACATTATTGTATTCCACACCCAATCAAGAAAAATCATGTTAGCTTAGAATGATTATCAAAAGCGGATTTAACATAACATGCAACTTTATCATACAATGTAATCATGATCAAGCACACCCACATAATGGATTCAAACAAGATAAACACATTTTCATATCAACTAATCCCACCCATCATGCATTATTCGTAAATGGTTTCTATACCCTAAATCAACATACCTATAAAACCCCACCTTAATGTTAAAACCTGAATTGGAGAGAGATGGATGATCATGATGATGAAAATACTTCTTAACTTGCTTCTCTTCCAAGAAATTCAAAAAATTTGGACATGCAAGGAGATTACTTCACAACTGATCAAAATCACTTTTTTCCCTTTCCCTTCTTCCTCACTCGCCTCCCTCCTTCTCTCTACTCTCTCTTATTTCTAAAATTATGATCTTAGTATGAGAAATGAAAGAAATGAAAGGAACAAATGAAGCATTCTATCCTTCTTTAGGCTTATATAGTATCCACTAAAAGACCATGATATTCTTGCCACTTATATCATATTTGTAATGAATGCCACTTCCTACTAATTATGAATTAGGGTTTCAAATTAAAACGTCTAATTCTCTTCTATGCTTTGATCAATATATCAATTAATACTTCTTGAGAGACTAGGGTTAAATTTACATGTCACTAAAACCACTAATCATGCTTAAACAATTGGTGAGATTGTGTTAGCAAAAGAAATACACGTGGTGCTTAATATTTTTATGTTGCATTATTGAAGATTATTGTGGCCATTTTTTTATAGAAAAAAAAAAACTACTGTGGCCATAACCAATTAGCTTTGTTGCATATATATAACTCTAATAATAATAGATCTGAATAGCTACAACACCGTACATCTCTTTTTTTCATAGATGGAGTTTCTGCTAAGCTGTATGATCCTCCTCTTTCTATTACCATTCACTCTCTATTTTCTACTTTCTAAATGCACCAAAAACATGATCAAACTTCCACCAGGACCTACTCCTCTTCCTTTCATAGGAAACCTCCATCAAGTAGGAAAAAAGCCTCACAAATCCTTAGCCAAATTAGCTGAAATTCATGGTCCAATCATGAGTCTAAAGCTAGGTCAAGTAACAACCATAGTTGTCTCTTCACCCAACATGGCAAAAGAAATACTCCAAACACATGATCATGCCTTATCTAACAGAGTCATTCCACATGCTGTAACAGTTCATGACCACCACAAATATAGCATGACATTCTTACCCGTTTCACCTCTTTGGAGAGACTTGAGAAAAATATGCAGTAATCAATTATTCTCTAACAAGAAACTTGATGAGAGCCAGAAACTCAGGAGTCAGAAACTACAAGAATTCCTCAATTTAGATTACAATTTCATTGGCAATTTCATCTACGCTAGAACGGGCAATGGCAGAATTGCTCAAAAATGAAAAGATTATGTCAAAAGCAAAACAGGAGTTGGAACAAATCATTGGCAAAGGCTCTTCATTTCAGAAAAAATATGTGATTAAGGGTATTTAAAATTTGTTTAAACTTATCTCATGACATAAGTATATATGATACTGATTGAATAAACTTATAGAAATAAGTATTTCCTGTTAACTTGTGAAAAATAATAATTACGTCATGCCTTTCTTATTTCATTAAATAGTCTAAAATATTTTGTAATTGCAACTATTGTGTTAAATTTAAAATAAAATAAAAATGGTTATTTTCAATTATTTGTTCATATTCATTTTACTATTGCTCATTGTAGAATTAATTTTTTTGATGCTTTAAAATGTAGTTGTTAAAATATAATTGTTATTGTTGCGATAGTCTTGCACTTACAAAGGTACGATTAAATCGAGTTACAATATGGTGTGGTGATCAACTACGACACAATATGGCATGATTATATAAATAAAAGTCAGTTTCTTCATTTCTGTTTTCTTATTCTCTTCATATTCTCTCATATTCTTACACTTCATATTAAAATCCACTTTTTTTTGTGTGTCTATTTTCTTATCCATACCGTGACTCTACCATGAAATCAAAATAGAATTGCCTCTTTCTCAAGAGTTTCAAATAATATATCACTACTATAAAAAACACATATAATAACGGTTGTGAAACACATATAACGACGGTTTTACGTCTTTTGTTAGATATCGTGTGATTGTATGTATGCTGATTTCCACAACGAATGAATGACCATGGTTATAAGTTACGTAGCACGCTACTTATAACAACGGGTACAAAAAACAATTGTTGTGAAATAATCTATAGTTCCTTCGAACCTCAGCTTTGTCATTCTTGCGTTTTATTATTCTAGATTGCACTCTACATCAAATAATACTATCATGTTGTCTTTGTGTCTTGTCTTTTGGTGTCTTGACTTTAAACACATATGATTTCAAATAATAATAGTTGTTAGAAAAATAATATCATTAGAAATTATAACATACAATAAATTATGAACGAACAATATAAAATACTTACTTGTTAACTTTTCCATATGCCTTCTTGATGATCGTTACGAATAGCAAGTACATCATCTCTATCAAATTCTTCATATGAACTAGGCATTTGTGTTGCATAAGAAGGAGTGTAAGGAATATCACAACATTTATAATCACTATGAGAAATGTATTTTTCTTTGAGAACAACTGACCATCTAAGTCTGCAGGGTCTGTCACATAAAAAGCTTCTTTTAATTGAGTAGCCATGATATATGGTCTGGTGTTATAAGTTGTCTTACCAGGATCAACCCGTGTGAATCATAACTCATCAGTGTGTACATCATTTCAATATATAGAAATGTGTTTCAAGTACTACATCCTGATCCATTGACTTAACATTTAAACCTTCAAATTTGTCAGCATGACGAGACTTTGAAATTCCAATAAACTTTGTTTCTCACAAATAGTTTGAACAAAACTCAAGAGCTTCTTCTATGATGTATCTTTCAATGATCGATGTTTCTGGTCGATGATGATTCTTCGTATATCCTTTAAATATCTTCATGTATCGCTCTATAGGATACATTCACCTTAAATTAACTGTATCATAATGTCAAAAAATGATGGAGAAAAATACATCTCCAATTGACACAATATTAATGCAACCTCATCTTCTAAGATCATCTAATTTTTTTAGATAAAAAACTTTATTACATATAGTATTGAAGAATAAGCACAATTTAGTTATAGTTACTCTTACATTTTTTTTGAAGGATGTCATGGATAGCCGCTAGTAGAAGTTATTGCATCAATAAATGACAATCATGAAATTTTAAGCTAATTAACTTAATATCTTTCATTGATATACTAATACAAAATGTATATATAACAACGTCAAAGTTATCACAGTGCTACGAAGGACCCTGATGACAGCAGCTACTACTTAACGCGCGAACATTTTCTATTATTTACTTATTAAAATTTTGATATGATATACTCACAGTTGAAAAATAAGACCGTGGTTATGTAATCACCCTTTCAAGAGTTCGAATCTCAGCGTCATCAAATATTTTATTTCTTTAACATTTAGTCGCGCCTTTGTATTTTATTTAATTTTAAATTAAAAATAAATGTATCACCACGGTTGTTTAAACTGTAAGCGGAAATATTCATGGATATTATATGAGATTAAAACATCAATACTTACTTGTTGAAGTCATGATTCAGACTTCCGAATGGATGAATGACCGGATCTTCCTCTGTATCTCACACTTCCGTTCACAACTTTCAATGGGGCAAGTTATGGAGCCGTCAGTTATGTTTCTGATGCTTTTTGTGATTACAGAGGGGATCTAGCCATATAATATATATAACCCTAGTCCCTACCCATTATGGGCCCAAGGTTAAAACCCACACTTTTACCCACACCAATCAGATTTCAGGTACTCAGTCATTAGTTAAAAATTGATCACTTAATTAATTAAAGTGCTTATATATGCACCCCCATCAGAATCACGATTAACCCGTTTTTTTTACAAATTAAACCACAATTGATTGTAGCCCATAAAATATTAGATAAATCTAACATTCTCCCACTTGGGCAAAATCAATTGTATGATTTTTATTTTAAAATACATTTTGAAAACGACTCTCGGATTAATGACTAATTCCTTAAAATGCGGCCGCATTTTAAGGAAATTCATGATTCTAGGTGTAGTATCTGAATATGACTCCGTCCAACAAAAGTTAAGCAGTATCGAATCACGACGATTATTATGTCCTTCATTGACATAAAACCTTTCGTGGTTACAAATACTACATACTCCGTCAACTAGTCATCAATGTGGAGTGTGGCAAGAAAATAACATGCTAATGTGAACCAACAACCATTTGCTATTTTCTTCGTCAGTCCTTAACAATTTCTCTCAAATGCATTAAACACAAAGAAATTGTACGGTTTTACAAACCATAATGCCTCAGCTCCAATATGGCGTCGACCACCGGCACAGTGGTCCTGACAACGCCGAGCTTAAAATCATACTTCAGCTCCAATATGGCATCAACCACCGGTATAGTGGTCCCGAAGACACCAAGCTCAAAATAATAACCATGCCTTGAACTCCAAACTAGTGTCGACCATAGGCACAATGGTTTCGATGACACTGAGTCCCAAATTTAGCAATTTAAATGTAAATAAACAATGACAAATGATAATAATAATAATAATAATAATAATAATCATTGTAATATCAATTGCTTAAAATAGAAAGTACTCGACAATCCAACATTTAAAGTGTCTAAAATAAAATATAACATGATAAAAGAAAATGACATAAAGAACAAACTCCCACTAACCAAGTACATCAAAAGAACTCACAATGCCCATGTTCTCTTCATAGCACACAAGCTAAGTCAATCACTCCTCTCCCACTTAGCTAATTTTTCTTTCTCTTCGGGTGTACTCTGATCATTGATCACAGGTTTGGTTTCACACAATGTCATGTCAAGGTCAACAATCCCTAACGAAAACTCTAAGTCTTTCTTCCATTTTTTAAAATAGACCCATTCAGGATCTCAATAGAAGCAAAACAATTGTTCATAGAGAAGGTAATTGTTTAGACAAAATAGGAATGCATTAGAACAAATAATAAAGGCAATATATAGCTTTAATGAACATAAGCTATCACTAAGAGGCCAACATTATCACACAATCCCCTTTGGGTAGAACCAAGGTCAGAACCTCAGATGAGTCGCTCAATGAGCATAAATTGGGTTCGAAAATCTATCTCCTTTGGGTAGATAAATTCTCTAAACCAAAACACCTCCAACAACTTCATCTACAAATTTCAAGAATAAGCTACTCAATGAGCATACATTGAGTTTAGAAATTTATTTCCTTTGGGTAAATAAATCCCTTAGACTAAAGCATCTCCAATAGTTATATCCTTAATCAACCACAATCTTTACATACAATTGTCCACCTTTGGGAAGACAATCACAGTAATGACTTAAAACCATTCCTCAAACTACAAAGAGACTTTTACAAATTAAAACGAGCGATCTCACTTTGGTGGTAATCACACACAATAATTTATAGAATTTCTTGCATAGGAATTAAAAAAAAAATCTTGCCAAAATAAATCATGAACCAATCATGAATTTAAACCATATAACATTCCTAATAAATTTTGTCTTCAACAGTATCAATCTCAATATTATAGAGATATTATATAATATTTTAAAATACTTGACAAAACAAATATATTACAAATTTATATAAACTAACATTTATTTAATAAAATGACCAAGACAATACAATACAAATTTAGAAATATATAGTACATATTGTCTTGAAAATAATTAATCTAGTTAATTATATATAATTCAATTAGTAATATATAATTTTATATGATACTGTATTGGCGTGAAAAAATTGAACAAAAGAATTTAGAAGTGGCTATTAACTTGGAATTGTTCTATTAATTTGTAAAAGAAACACCAGATAAACAAAGTTACCGGCACTATTGACGGCATTCACGTATTTTGCATTTCAGTAACCAAAGAATCATATATATTGTTTTAATTGATCCAAAATAAAGGGCAATTGAAAAATAACGTACTATCAGAACACTATTACTCATAGTCATATTATCACATATTATCCCATATTAGTTCATAATACTACCCCATATTATCTCATATTAATTTATCAAATTATACTCGTGGTAATCCTCACACTATCGCCCATCAATCACATAAACTTCACAGTCCTACTCATATTAATTCATCATATTATCACAGTTACCCCCATGGTAATTCATCAGGAAAATCGCAGCATCAAAACATCAAGACATCCTTGAACCAGAACATGATTCATTAATAAAACATATACACAATTGACTTCTCAAACATAATTAGATATAAAAATATTGGAAAAACAATTCCCTTATCCATACTATGTTATAGCTCTGTTTATTAGCTTTCCAACG